CTGGAGGATTTTGGAGATGTCGCGACAGGTGTCCGGCAGTGGTTTTTGGCGTCAAGAGGAAACCCGGGGCCCCGGCTCGAAGGACCAATAATGTTAAGGATTTTTATCAACAACCCAGTGCCTGCAACCAGAGAAAAATAAACAAATGACAGACAAGTATCCAGATTGCAATGAGGAGGCAGAAGCTACAAGGCTACTGCTCCGAGCTCCTGAATTCTCAGTTTATTTATAACATGAGATAAGAAAGTGTGTGTGTGTGTGTGTGTGTGTGTGTGTGTGTGTGTGTGTGTGTGTGTGTGTGTGTGTGTGCGCGTGCGTGCGTGCGTGCGTGTGTGTGTGTGTCTGAATAAATGAGCATGCATTTAGGCATGGAGAAAAACATATTACATGAATCAACGATCAAGAAATGGTAAACATAAAATTTCCATAACAGACTCAAAACCCTACATTTTGTCTGCAAAGATGTGCAATCTTTTTGTGATCTTAGACCTGAGAATCACCTTATTTTTATATATATATATTTTTTATTATGCTTGTGAAGAACCTTGTGGTTTATTGCAGCAAATATCTTTATCGCAAAATTCAACATTAAAAGGAACTCTTGCTATGAAGACGTGCATGCCCTAATAAGCCACAAATTTTCTGTTGAACCAAACAATGTTGTTAGAAACACACAAAATATTGCCGTTTATTTATAAAGATATAATATTTTGTACATTTTTTGACATACGTAGGACGCCATGTTTTCCGCACGCAATGCACTCTGGGGGCGATGACGTATAATGGTTGCACTTGGAAGTATAGCTATTGACGCTAGTGTTTGTTTACGCGCTCACCATATTAATAATTAAGTAAAATACCTCATTTTTCTTATTTTGGATGTAATTTCCAGCCAAAGGGCACAAGGGGAGTGGTGTGAGTTTACACAGCTTTCATACTGGCAAGAAGAGGAGAAAGCAGTGGGAAGATACCTGTGGACGGACACAACTTCCCAACGATCCGCGGCTGTGTTTGCAACATTTTTCTCCTGATGCGTCTGAGTCTAATAGTCGACTACAACAACTTTAAGAGCTCACCAGAGTTGCTGGGTATAAGAGAAGGCGGAAACTAAATGCTTTACCGACCATTTTCCCACACAAGTAGCCTAAACGCCCTCGGAGAGACAAGAGATGCTGGACGCTCTCCTGAGCCGACAACCTGCTCCTGAAGCTGGCGCTTCTGTCACGTTCAGCGAACCATCGGACACGCCACTCGTCACGGATGAAGCTGAACGTTCACCTCTCCCGTCAGTAAAACAAGCATTAAGTGTAGCAACACAGTGTTGTCCACATATATAATACCTGCAACAATGATTAAAGCCGTTTCACTGAATATCCTGATCATCTATAAAGCACTCGACAGCCCTGGACGCTAAAATTCTCCAAAATCATTCATAATTGAATAAGTTTGATCACACGATAGCTTACTGTTAACTTCTGCTGACAAAAAAGTGAGCTCTTGACAACAAACACTCTCCCTCTCGGATACCATGGAGACGCATTTGCCGCACACACACCACTGGATTTTGTCCTGCACTCGCTTCATCCCGCCCTTCTTGCTCTTCATTTTGATGCTCGTTTTGTGAAAAATGGTCAGTGATGTCCTCATTAATGTTTCACTCTGGTTCAAAGTGAAAAGGCTGAACAGATGACATGTTGATGTCGCTGAACACTCACAGTGTCCCAAAGCCAGCCGGTGCATCCAAGGTACAACCATATGACGTCACTACCCAGAGTGCAGTGCAACGCTAACAACAATGGCGACCTATGAGTTAAACAATTTTAACAAATTTTATAAAAATGAAGACATCAAGAAGGTTTTTTTTACACCATTTTAATATAACTGATACCAACATTTGTCTTTTAAGAACCACAAGGTTTTATAACCTGGGTTCCTTTTAACATTGAAATTATATGTTCTTAATATAAACCCTTTATAAACCCTAAAAGGATCTCTTCTTATAACAAAGCTAAAGGCATGCGCTTGCACGCTGTTCTTTTCTTAAAAACACAGCAGTTTTAAATGAGGGCACAGCTGACAGATCATCCCTCTTAGATTAATTTCTCATCTGGTAACAAGATGCCCATGGAATCACAAATCTGTTTTAGGGGAAGTTCAGTGACATTGATAAGGAGCTTGGCCAGAATTGCCCGAGTGAATAACAGAGAGCAGGCTTTTGTGTGGGTTTCCGTTTAAATGCTTTATTTTTCTGGCTTTTCTAATGTCTCACATATTCTGACTCTGACTCATTTTGTCTGCGTTTGCTGTAAAGCCGGGTTACATTTGACCCAGACTCTACCGTTATTGGTTGCCCATTTTTGAAGTGAACTCGTATTTGGTCCTCTGAGTGGATATATTTCCTGGTTCTGTTTTGAATTAAGGTTGGCACATCAAGCTTAGTGAACTTTTAGTTTAAGCGCCAGGATTTTTATGGTTGGGTCTGTTCACAATAGAGCTCATTCAGTATTCTGAAACAGTCTGGGCCGAAGCTCATTCTTCAAACATACTTTCATTTTTGAAAGAAACTCGATTCCTTTGCTTTGTTCCTCGGAAAGTGTTTCCGTTCAGGCAGGACTGCAGAAATATGCTCACACTACTGATGAGCCCTGTGAAAATTAGGTCCTGCTTTTAACCTTTCTGGATGATTAACCCAAAACATTTCTGCAAACAGTACCCATCCTCTGATTTAATGATGTTTTGCATTCTTTTACCCCGATGACTTCCTTGTGTATTTTGCATTCTCTCAGCTTCTGCTCTATTTTCTTTATCCTGTTCGTCTGTTTCTCTTTTAGTCATGTTTGGCCTCAGTAAAGAAAACACTGGCCATGTATCCCAACAGGAAATACTCCCACATCTGGTGCTGGTTCCAAACATCAACATGAAGAAGTGGACTTTATGGAGAATTAGCATGTGCCCTCTCTCCATCTCAGCGCCTGACGCAGCCACTCATTATTCAGTGCTGATACACACTCCCACTGGCGTCCTAGTGAGGACACTGGGCTTGGAGAAGATTCAGACATTAAGTAAAAATATATGGTATGGGCCGAAAGTCTGACTAATAACTGGATGATCAAGATCATTGATGCCCTTTATCATTGGACTCAATCCTGTCTGCCTGCTAGCAACTTATCTACTGAACCTCTGGACAGAATTGAATAAAAATCGAATCCTGCCATAGACGACTGACCTTAGCAAACACAAAACCGTCAGTGAGTTTTACAGATGTTGAGCTAAGATTTCATGTGTTCACCAGAACACCCTATTCTGATCACATCAGCCGTTATTCAGCAGCTTCATTCGCTGCCAGTAAAGTTCAGGGTCCACTACAAAATTTGAGTCCTTACGTATTAGGCCAATCATAATCTCGTCCCCTCTTATCTCTCACAGCTCTTACAAGTCACTAAACCCTCTCACGTGCTCAGATCCTCTTCTTCCATCAACTTAAATAATCCACCACCTCGTCTTGTCACGATGGGATACCGGGCATAGCAGATCGGCTCCCCCCCTATGGAACTCATTACCTGCTCACCTTAGGAACATGACTACCCTTCACCAATTTCAGGCTAATCTCAAAACTCGCCGGTTCCAAATTGCTTATTCACTTTAACTGTTAGTGTTTTATCTGATGTTTTATTTGGGTTTTAAATTTTCTAGTCATTGAATGTTTCAAGTTTTTATTTATTTTTAACCTGATTGTACAGTGACCTTGGGTTTTTTGAAAGGTGCTCCAAATAAAATGTATTATTATTATAATTATTATTATATTCATTTTTATTTAAATTTTTATCTATTTTTATTTTTATTGTAGCACAAACAGTGATTTCTCTCTGACACCAGCTGAAAGTTAAAGTCCCACTAGTTGTCAGCTCCTCTAAATCTGAGACCATGGTCTTGATTCGGAAAAGGGTAGAATGCCTTCTCCGGGTCAGGGATGAGGTCCTGCCCCAAGCGAAGGAGTTTTAATATCTCGGGGTCTTGTTCACGCGTGAGGGAAAGTTGGAGCATGAGATTGTTGCACCGGTCTGTCGTGATGAAGAGAGAGCTGAGCCAGAAGGCAAAGCTCTTGATTTACCGGTCGATCTACATTCCTACCCTCAAATATGGTCACGAGCTTTGGGTAGTGACAGAAACGAGATTGCAGAAACAAGCGGCTGAAATAATTTTCTCTGCAGGGTAGCTGGGCTCTCCCTTAGAGATAGGGTGAGAAGCTCAGTCATCCGGGAGGGGCTCAGAGAGACCCGCTGCACCTCCGCATTGAGAGGAGCCAGTTGAGGTGGCTCTGGCATCTGGTTAGGATGCCTCCCTGGTGAGGATTTCTGGGCACGTCCAACCGAGTGGAGACCTAAACAAAAACCCAGGACACACTGGAGAGACTATGTCTCTCGGCTGGCCCGGGAACGCCTTAGGATTCCCCTGGAGGAGTTAGCCCAAGTGGCTGGGGAGAGGGAAGTCTGGGCCTCCCTGTTTAGGCTACTGACCCCGCGACCCGACCCCAGATAAGCAGCCGAAAATGGATGGATCGATAATTGTCATGCTGGTGTGTGAAATTAGTTCTCTGCATTTGACTCATCCTCTGAGAGAGCGGTGAGCCGCAGACACGGCCACGCTTGGGTTCCATTTGGTGGTTAAATCTCCCAAGGTGAGGGTCAAGCAGTGGAGCAGTATGTCCCATTTTTAGAAGTCTTTGGGATGACCCTGCTGTGGATTTGTGACCAATTCTAAGCCTTTAATGATTAAATGTTAATTTTTTTTTTTGTTAATCTGATTTCTTGGTGTTTTCCTCGTCCCATCATTGCCTGAACACCTGTGTATGTTTGTGTGAATATTTCCAGTGAAACAAAAATAAAAATATCCTGATGATAACAGTGAGGAAAACAATAACATATGTATGTTATGTGACAAATAGAAAACTGGATGTTTGTACTGTTGTGAAAATCCTCCCCTCTGATTTCACTTCTCAGGACGTGTGACCCCGGAGCAACTGTGTTCTTACGTAAAGCTGTTCCGGAGAAGTTGGGAGGCACTAGAGAGTCACTGCGGGCTCCTCCAGCTGGGCCTGGCCACGGCCCAGACACTTCGACATCCCAGCTTGGCCCGCTGGGATGCCTGTCTGGCCTTTGAAAGGCTGCTGCTGCAGGTGCGCACTCATCTTCTACAAGTTCACTATTCTTATGTTGCAATCCGTAACAACTCCATTACTGACACATCAGAGTAAGAAAGCTGCATATTCAAGCTAATTTGTGTCCTCCAAGGTGATATTTTCTTACCAAGACTAATCTGGTAGGTGTATGGTTTCTAACATGGTGTTCAGATTGTTGGATTTACAGATTTACTTTGAACTTTTCCCTGCAAACGTCAGTTTTCTGTTCGGGGAACATTTATTTCCACTAAGCGCAGCAAAAAAATGAAACAGATTTCCATCATGTTGTTTGGTAGTTGTAGAGTCTGGGAAGGGAAGAGGTTGGTTTTACAGATGGGAGGGCAGGAGTGGATGTGCTGGAGTACTGGAAGGTCAAAGAGCAAGTTTTACAAATCAAAAACCAGAGTCATATTCATATTTTTAGTAGCGATCAGCAGATATTTAGTATTCAATCACACAAGCTGAACTGAGCCAAACCAGTGGCAAACTACTCCTGAGGCCATGTCCTCCCCCTGCATTTTTATTGAGCCTGTTTACGTTCCTGAAGATGCAAGGCCAACAGTAGGATGGCAGAGTATTTGGGAACTTATTAAACCAAATCACGGAAAAATAAAACACGCTGGTAGCTCGGGCCAAGTTGGAATTTGGAAAACAATCTTTTAAACCCCAATGCTCCGATAGGATCACTCGTTTATTAAACTAAGGAATGTGGATTGAGAGCCTATGCTGTCCCAGTAATGTTTAATGTACGGCTCCTTGGATTCGCTCCGGTGTCCGTCCTACCTGGATCCTTCATGTCAACTTTGTTGCGTTTTTAGTCCTGATCATTTAAATTTGCCTCCACTACCTCCAGTTTTGTGTTTGTTTAATGGAACTGGTCACAGTCATGTTTTTAGAGTTGTGCTCAGCATCAGTGTTTTATTTGATTTTGAAACTTTTGGCTTGAGTTCAAAACATACTTTCATTGAAAATCAGATCTCACCATCGGGCCTTCGGCTTAATGCGAGAGCTGCAATCAAAACAGTTCTGAGTTTTACTGAAGAATTTAAGGAAATGAGTTGTGTCCTCTCTGTTGATTTGAGCTAAATGTGAGGTTTTTATTTATTTATTTATTTGCTTTGCCTCAACCTTAGAGAGAAAAAAAAAGTTATTACACAGAAAAATGGTGGGATGAAATGGCTCTTAGACCTGCCAGGCAGTTGAGGTGTGTTTGCTCAGTCTGAGTGTGTGTGCACCTGTGTGTGTGTGGGGGGGGGGGGGGTGACTGGCTGGACACTCTGCTGTTGGTCTGAGTTCATACAGGCCACCTCCTATGTGGAACACAGGAACCATGGAGTAGGTTGGTGCTCTGATGAGGTGAGGGGCTGTCGAGTTCAGAGAAGGGAATTTTACACTAACTTGGTCATGAAGTAACTGATAACTAACAACAAGCTTGTGCCCCTGTCGGTATCAGCTCTGTGATTCGATAATAAAACAAAACAAAAAGAGGATTTTTCTAATCTGCAGCTATAGCCTGAATGGTAATATGTCTGTCAGGGTCCCGCACGAAAAGTGCTCCGATTCTGGTTTTGGAGGTTGACGTATTAGTTGGGCTATAATATCAGTGTGGTTGGAGTACTAATGTGCATGGATTTATTACCTCCTTAATATAAAGCTTGTGTTTGTGTGGAATGGCCAGATATCGTCTTGTCTGGCAGTGCCACCCTGCCTGCACCTACCGCCCCACCCGGGTGTCTGGCCTGGAACCGTGTTTGAGTCTGAAAGGCTCAGATTGAGCAGACTTGGTCACACTCCAGCCCACAGTTAAAGAATGCACGTGTTAGACGTCCTCAGCAGCAGACAGGAGCGGTGCCGCCAAAGCGAAACTCAACAGACTCACTCTTTCACCTCTTCCCAGAACGTCACAGACTCACTACCTCTACCTTCCCATCAGCCACCCAGCCAGAGCCTCACCAAGCTAAATATGCCCACTACTACAGTAACTCCTCCTCACTGGGGGGGCAGACATGATGCAGCTTCATCTTTTGGAGTTGCAAGCCTACTGAGGCCGCTACTGTCCCCGAGTGTGCTCGTGTGAGAGTTGTGTCATAACGCTGAACTCGGCTGAGGTGACAACAGCACTGTAGAGAGGACCTAACCCCCTCTCACCCCGGCCTGTTGCTTCATCCTTCTTGGATTACCAAGGCGCGCCTCTGCAAACATTCAAGTTCAGAGTTGTTACCCGTCACAGCGCCGTTTAGATAGAGAGCTGCTCTCTGCTGTGTGTCCCCCATAACCCCCGGGTCACCCAAACGCCATGCCTGGCTTTCATCTGTGGTCTGCTGCATGTTTGTGTTTTAGTCTAAAAACATTAAAAGTATGACTCAAAATATTGCTGTAGATCCAGACTCTGTTCCCTTAACACTAATTTATATAAACTCAATAGCAAAAAGACTCTGTTTAAACAAGAGATAGAATCCATCTTTTACTGTAAACTCGCAGTCGCACAAGAAGAATTTCCCAAAAAAGACTTGTTCAGAAAATGTTGAAAATGTCAACATATTTTGATTTTAAGTAAGATGAATTTTGGTTTACAGAAGTGGCTGACCTATAAAGATTGACATTACTCTCTGCTGTTGGTGTTGTAGAGATGCCAGGCAATGGAGAAGCTTCACAAAATAATTTGTGTGAAAAACACAAGATAGCAGAGAACAGATTAGGGGTAGACTGATATATTGGTCGGCCAGTGTACCGGGCCAATTTTTGATGTATTTTATATGTCGGCATCAGCCGATATACCTCCTTAGTAAAGCCGATTTAAAGTCAGGCACAAGCCTAATTTCTACTTCTCCGTCTGCGTCGGGATGGACGCACGTAACGCCATTATCCGTCCTTTCGAGGGCTCTCTGGCAGGCTCGCAAGGACAGACGGAGTCAAGCTCTCTTTCCTAAACATCCGCCCAACGAGATCCAGAACGCAAGCTTGTAACTGGTCAGAATGGTGCTCTCGTCAACAGCGCCGCCATGGCGTCCTCAAAAACATAAAGAGAACCGAAAATATCTAGCGGCAGACACGGAGCAACTTGAAGAATATGTTGCAGAAAAACTCTGAATTATGATTGTTTTATTCACACGTGACTGGAGGAGTGAAAAGAAATGCAGCAAGCGTTTTATTCGTGGACGGAAATAATGGGAAACGTGGGTTTAGAGGTGGTGAGCGCACGAAGAGGTGGAGGAGAATGAGGGACTAATTTGTCCGTGTTTAAAAGTCTCTTAAATACTAAAAACCCAACATAAACACCATAGTAAATGCGTTATCTTGGACCGGATACATGACAGGACACCACACGTCATTCATATTCCAATGAATGCATGAAAGTTTTTCATTTTGATCTGAAAGTTCGAGTTTGGACACATTTGAGGTCATGAGGTCATTCTGCTACTTTAGTTGACTTGTAAACCTCCAGCAAGTAAAAGATCTGAGTCAGCATCACTATGGTTTTGTAAAAACTAGAAACGCTGCTCAGGTTCTCTAAAGATGTGTGTTGGGTTGTGAAGTTTAACTGGTGCTGAATCTGTTTGAGACCGTTTTTCTACATTTGACCTGGGATGAGTCCCAGGTTGTTCTGTTTTTGCTCACGTCTTTACTACGCTGATATAACAAGACTATTATCTGTTAACAACACCCAGTTGTCAGTGTTCTAGCCCAGAGAGTTGTGACCCATCACCTCTGTCCTTTGACCCTTCCTGGACATACTGCGGAGGCTTAAACCTTCAAATCTGAACATTGTTTGTAGCTTGATGTTAAAAATCTATGTAATACCTTGCAAAGCAGTAAGAAAGCAAGCAAATCATCTGAATTATGATGTCTACGCAGAAATATACATGTAACATCTGGATTGGATCATTTCATATGGCTTGAAGAGGAAAAATGTTGATATTGGGTCTGAGTGGCTTTAATCTTATCTTAGCTGCATGCCACAGAAATACAGGGGGCTTTAAGCCAGTAATTGCCCTTTCCCCAGGGTATTGGAGCCTGTCCCCCACATCCCAGACATTCCCCCTTTATTCTGCATCTTTTGCGTCCCTGCTGCTTGTTGTACTTTGTCGGCAATTGTAACACCGGAGCAAGAATGACTCCGGGGCATTACCCTGAAACATCCAGCGTTGACCTCCTCGTTCCCCACTGTTTAACAGCCTCACATCTGGTCTGACCCGGTCTGGCCGTCTCCACATCCATCCCACTTCTGTACAACATTCATCCTCATCCCGCCCCGAGGCAGGAGGTTGGGACCATCTCCTGTCTGTCTCCATCTTTCCGCTCTCGTTTCCGTTCAAAACTGCTTTATTGTGCACATCCTTTTAGAAATGTTTTGTTTACTTTCTTTTTCACTTATGTGCTCCCCAAATATATGCCTTACTAGAACATACCATCTTGTGGTCAGCATGATCCCGTACGCTCTGATGAAGACACATTTTCTGTATTTTCTAGCAGAACAAGAGTTGTAAAACTTGAGGAAACGCATAGCCGAAAAAAGTTGGGTTTATCAGAAGAGTGTTATTTACCTATCTCTTCCTTCCTGTGTTTAGTTGGAAAGGATTACAGCGGGAGAGACACACAGTTATGGAGTTCACTCCCAGGAAGGCCCAGGAATAGACCCCATCACAAGCTCCCTTCCTCCCCCCATATCCCCCCTCCCCCGGCAGCAGATCCCTGGCGGCTGTGTTTACATTTCTCTGCACAACTCAGGCCTAATGTACTATCTGTTTAGTAGGCACAGAGAGGCTAGTTTATAGAGAGACAGCGTTTTAACAGAGGTGATGGGTTGGTGGGCCAGAGGACAACAACAACTCATCTCATTTCCTGTTATCATTACCTCTCTTCTCTCAGACAGATAGGTGCCTGGCTTACTCTGCTTTCTGCGTTACTCAGCCCTAATCTAGTCTGGCTATCCTGCTGGCTATGGCTGTGTTTAATCTGCCCGCCTCAGAATATCCAGGGACTCCAGTCTCGCTGGG